GCGCACCCACCCAATCGCGGGAGTGAGATATGCACTCCTCTTTTCTGCTCTCCTCTCCTCGCCATCTCCTCTCCTCTCTTCCGCGGCTGATCGTGCTTGTACCTCTTTCAGTCTTCTCACTCCCCGTCGGAGGATTCTAGAGGCTCTTGACAAGGCAGGAGCAAGTCCGGCGCTAGTTACTCAGGTATTTCACTGCCCGTATCCCCGTAGTCCCGTCAGCTTCAGTCCGCCTTCTCCTCCTCCCTTTCCCTCCCTCCCTCCTCCCTCCTCCCTCCTCCCTCCTCCCTTGAAGGCTTCCTCCTACATCCTCTTCGCTCCATTTTCCTCCTTTCTCCCCGCATCTTTGTCTGCCCATCCGCCTCACTACTGTCCTCTTTTTCGGCTCGTTCTCCTCTCCCTTCTCCACTCCCTCCTAAGTTCTCCTCTCCCTTCTCCACTCCCTCCTTCTCCTCTCCCTTCTCCACTCCCTCCTAAGTTCTCCTCTCCCTTCTCCTCATCGGACGCCTTCAGGTTGTCACTGCCATGGATCGAGCTGAGAAGGAGGCTGTCTCAAGAGGTCGCAGCCCTCGTGAATCTTACCGTACTAGTACGCTCCGGGGCCAGGAGGCTGCCGGGCTCCGACTCACTGATGATTCATAGCGGTACTATGACTCGTAACCGTAACGCTGGCACTCAGTGTAGGCCGGCAGGCACGTGAAAGTTAACTCAGTTGTTACTTGACTGAATGAATTCGGAACTACCGTACCACACCGTCACGGTCCGACGCACCGTGCTCCAGCCAGGGTGGCCACTTTCAGGCAGTCCGCCAGGATGCCGCGATGATGGCAGCCTTAGCACCTCCAGGCTCCGGGAGTCCGGGGCCCCCGCAAACTGCCGCAGCCGGGCCCTGGCAGCCCGGTCCGGCCCGGGGGGGGATGCTCGTACTCTTCAGTGACTGACTTTCGAGCCTTCGCGCCGGGGGGCCGGGCCCGGGCGGCCGCCGGGCCGGCTGGGCCGGCGCTGAGAGTCACTGAGCCTGAATCTGACCAAGTTGATTTAACGATGACGTTACGTCAATGTAACGTTGTGTAACGAGATGGGCATGCGGCGGCAAAAAGGAGAGGAACGGGGAAGGGGAGGAGGGAAGACAACTGGGGAGGAGGAGGAGGAGGAGACGAGTTAGAGGGGATGCGGATATCGAAGAGAGAAAGTGAGAAAAGAATGAGTCCGAGGAAGAAGATTGGAATGGAAGATGAGAGAAAGGAAAGTAATTCAGTCACTTCACATGATTCATTCACATGGGGGCAGGAAATTAGTTGAATGAGGAGAACATAAGATCCAGATCAGCCACAAGGGCAAGAGATAGTGTGAGAGGTTCTTCCAAACAACCATGTTTAGCATTTCAACCTCCCTTGCAACATGCCATGCACTATCACAGTCAAACAATCATCTTGTCACCTGAAAGCTTGCCTTCTCACTCCACCTTGCTTCTGCAGTTGTTCACCTACTCTCCTAAGAGGAACACGCGAGCAGACAAGCTTACAAGCAGATTGCTCTCTCACCAACATGGGTCTTCCCCCGCAGCCAATCATCAACCCGGCTGATCGCGCGCCTGCCAAGTACCATGCTTCCGATGACAAGGTACCCAAGGCATTCCGTCATCAAAACAGGTGGAGGGCAGGTAAAGCTCCTGAGGTCAAAGACAACGACGATGATCAGTTGAACTTGGACGAGAAGGTGTTGTACAAGTTCAGACAGCAGGGATGATGATGGTGATGATCTTTGTGCAGCCGAAAGAGGAAGAAGAAGCGAAGAATGTACAACCAGACCTCACCGACCGTCGACTCCGTCGTTTGGCAGAAGGAAGAAAAGGTTATACTTTTGCAAACAAGGGACAAATCGTTGAGGAAAGCTATGTGTTCCGCTCGGATCAGTCATGTTCTTGTGTGAAGGGGTGTGAAATGTGAACTTTGTTGATGTTGCGATGTGAAATGTAAAGAGTACAAACAGCGTGTCAGAGCTGCATGTACATTCTGTCTTGATTGTGCTCTGATTCTTGATTTGCAGAAGGAGTGATTGGATCAAGGCAGAGAGAAGTGGTTGAGGCAGAGGTCAGGGCTGAACGTGTTGAGGAAAATTTCATGAGATGCTCTCAGGTTATCGTTGGCGATGAGAGCGCCGAGGCTAAGGATGAACCTGTAAGTCTTGTTGTATGTTGTGTCTTGCTGTTATCAGCCCAGGTTTCGTTCTGATGATGAGAATCATCTAGATGGATGTATCGGAGAGTGAAGACGACGAGGACAAGGCAAGCCTTTGTTTGTTGTTGGGTGAACAGATGAAGAAGATTTTTGTTTTTAAGTTATGAGATGATGTTTGAAAACGACTTGAAAGTGATGAGATGACATTTCTTGCCTTGAGATTGATCTCTACATGTGCGATTTGAGATGTGATGCATGACGATGCATCTAATCATGTTCTTGCCCTGCATGCAGTGTTCTTGTTCATGAATTTTAACAAAGATGGCAGCTGGAAGCGCGTCGAGAACGATTAAGACAGGTGTGGAAAGAGGAACGTCCTTGCTTTTCCAGATGGTGAATGTCTACCAGATCGCGTTGGAGAGAAGGAAGAAGGAGGAAGAAGAGGTACGGCTGGTTTCACCCTCGTCCTAGGCTTCTTCCTTCTCAGAGGTTGCTGTTGTGTAGGATGCAATGCCTGTGGAGGAGGAGGAGGAAGTGGAAGAGAAAGGAGATTCATCATCGTCGTGGGAATATGAATCGGAATCAGAGAGCGGTGAGGTTTGGTTGGTTGCCTGTGACATAGAGCATCTCTCACTGTGAAGGGGATGCCAATGATATAGGACCTGATGAAGATGATGCATTGTTGTTCCTGTTCTTGATCTTGTACTTTTTGTGTACTTGTACTTGTACTTGTCCTCGTACTCCTTGCTGTTCTTGTACTTGTTCTTGTACTTGTTCTTGCTCTTGTTCTTGCTCTTGCTCTTGCTCTTGCTCTTGCTCTTGCTCTTGCTCTTGCTCTTGCTCTTGTTCTTTCTCATTGCAATCACTGTGCTCCATATCGATTGAAATTCGCCTACAGAAGACGACAGGAAGCTTATCAAGCCGGTTTTCATCTCAAAACAGAAGAGAGAGACAATTGAGGTCACACTTGTCCATCCATTTCATCCCCTTGTCTAATTTCCATCTCGACTATCTTGTATTCTTCATGTTGATGTTGATAATTACACCAGGAGAAGAACAAGATCTACGAGGAAGAGCAGGCGGAGGAAGAAGCGCGAGTCAAGAGGATGGAAGAGAGAAGGTGCTCATGCTGTCTTCGTTATCTTTCCTCTCCTCTCCTCTCCTCTCCTCTCCTCTCCTCTCCTCTCTTCTCCTCTCCTCTCCTCTCCCCTCCCCTCCCCTCCCCTCCCCTCCCCTCCTCTCCTCTCCCCTCCCCTCCCCTCCAATACTCCTGCTTTCTCCCTGTCTGATCTTCTCATTCCTCTGCTTTTGACAGGCAGGAGACGCGGCAGATTGTTGCCGAGGAGCTTCTGAAGGAAAAGAAAATGCAGCAAGAGAGAATGACGCGCCAGGTGCTCAACACCAATCCTCTTGCCTCCCCTCTTCTCTCTCCTCTCCTCTCCTCTCCCCTCCTCTCCTCTCCTCTCCTCTCCTCTCCTCGCCTCGCCTTACTCTCTTTCAGGCCCGAGAGCTC